GTCTGGATTTCTACTCTTCTCAGCTTTCACTTTATAAGGGAACTATTCATTCTTGAAGCAGACTGTAGGAAACCGCAACCTCTGATCATTGGTATTTTCACTGAACTGCAGGCCAAACATATATTAATGCATCATCCGCACAAAATAATGTCAGTGGTGGCTGAAACCGCTGCCTATATAACTTCTGTAACCTTTCCATTGTTTTTGTGTTTTTGTCTCTCTCCTCCTTTCTCCCCCCCACTCACATACACACTCATGTGACACAGGAATATGAGCCCACCATCTACTATCCTAAACGCTCCTCTCACAGTCTACACCAGGATTTCACAGTTCAATGTGAGAAGATGGACATCCCTTTCCTCTCCTATCTCCCCACAGAGGTAAACATGTTGACAGAAAGACACTTTTTTTCTTTCAAGTCATGCTTCACTGCTTTTCATATGTTCATGTTCAAGGTGAGTAACATTTACAGGTCTGAAGACATAAAATGAACTCATACATTACACAAGTCTGAAAAATGTAACAATTTTAAATAGAGTGGAGTGTGGATTTGAAGACATTTCTAGCAGTGTAAGATAGACAGACATCAGATTTATCATGCAATCTGTTGGAGGAGTCACCATACCCAGGGTGGGATCCTCCAATTTAGATGAATCATGTAAAGTAAAGTTCTCATTCATCCATACTGGTGTGTTCTATTCAGGTGCAGCTCATAAATGATGCCTACAACATAGTGATTGATGCCATGCTGGGCCCTGAGGCAGATGGCACCAGCATTAAGGAGCCTTACTCCTGTATTCTGGTCACTCTTAAGCAAGTCAGGATCCCCATTGCCAGTGTGGATATCCCCTCAGGTAAGCATTCACACAGACTATAGCTATCAGGCTGGAGAGCTCAGAAACACAACATGATGAACGAGCCTCCACGTAGCTCCTGAGGAGCCTTGGCTCCCACACAAGAGGCCTTTAAGTCTGGAAGCACACATGGAGGATAAATCTTACACTGCACTCAGAACTGCGTGATTTCATCATATCCTCAATGTACAGTACTACCCACACAACAGACAGATAATTATCACAATGCTTCCCCCCTTAAATGCGTCTTACTGTCTTCCTCAGGTTGGGATGTAGAAGAACCAAGTCAGGACGGGATAAACCCAGAAGTTCTCATCTCACTTACAGCACCAAAGAAGTGTGCCATGGGTTTCTCAGGGAAGCATTTTTTGGCCGGACGCTTCCTCCCTTATGACATCCAGAAAAAATATGAGCTTAACCCCCCAAACTACCAGGGCACAGACAGTCTCATAGAATTGTAACACATGGAGCACATATGGTTAATCTATTCTTTTTGTTTGTTTTATAGACTGTTGATGTCATTTAATGTTATCTCAGTTGTGTAGAACAGGCTACATCTTAGCAAATGTACTGTTAAGCTACAGTAGAAGGATCATATTTAGAAACTGTGGTTTAGGGAATGGCGTGATGAATTTTTGTGCAAATCTACGTGAGAAAGTTGTAGCATTATGCTGTTTTCTTTGCAAAAGACAAATGTCGTTTTGCACAGTCAGTCAAAAAAAAAAAGAATTTTCCTCCAATCATAGTTTTTTCCCCTCAAAATTTTAATTGTTCATTTTCTGATACTCAAATGTTTTGATATTTATTTTAATTCTGAAGTGCACTATTGAGACGAGTTGGTGTAGGTTGGCAATATAAACTGTTTGTTTTTTTGGTTGTTTCGCCAGCCTGCATTTCTGCATTACTTTTCCTGTGGGTACCTCACTAGTTGTTACAAAAGGCCCAGACAGTTCTTGTTGTCTAATAAAACAGTCCCAGTTAAGGGAAAATACAATTTCTGGCTTTATGTTTCTTTTCATTTAAAGTTTTAAAATGTCATATAAACATTACTCCAAATGAATGATAATGTTGCTTGCTAACATATTTTCCATAACACCTTTATAAGGTTCTGTTTTCAGCTTGTTCCACTGCCCCCATGTGGTCAGGACACTCAGTGAAGGTGCATACCTTTAGCTGATTCCATGTATACTACCACACATGGTAAGGTTCTGCTAAAAAAATTTTTTTTGATTCATTTACTGATTTCAGCGTGACATGGTGGAGCCAAAAGAGGCCTTGAACACAACCCTTTCTGTTCAGTGATGTCACTAATCACCAAGCCGCCAGGGTGTGTTATATCACATGCAATTAACATTGTGCTTCTTAGATGAGGACACAATGTTACTTCTGTTTATTAGTAGCTGGATTTGATTGGCTAATGAAAGCCATAACCTGGTAATAAACTGGCTATAATTAGCTGTGTAGAGGATGGTCTTTCATTATTGAGTTCATGGCCTCAGTGTAAATGACTGAAGCTGCTGTGCTGTTTATGGATGAGGTAATATGTATTTATATGAAGCACAGGAGTCTTCTGAATAATACTAATGCACTATTATAGCCCAATGTGCACATGTGTGGGTGGACGTTGAAAGTCATGGAAAAAGAATACTGATCTGTTCTTTCACTCAGTGGCATTAAATCTGTCTGAGGCAAATTGACAAGGGTTGTAGAAATACTATATGTCTGAGGGCTCAGTGGTTCTGTTTTTCATGCCCGTCCAGTCAGGAAACAGTTTCATGTCACCACTTTGTCATTTGTGCTTTTCATAAGAATGGTTGAGTAATGAGATTTGGGGTCGTTGGTGGCCTGGAGAATTGAACAATTATAACTGACAGTGGCCCTTATAGAGTAGTAATAGAGTGAGCATTTGTCTTACATGGAGAAGAAATGTGGTCATAAGATTTAATGAGAGCAGTGAGGCAGAAAAATGAATCCTGGACATTTATTGTACAATAAACAAACGCTCAAAAACTTAAACAATTTCTTAAGGGGTTCCATTTATTTCTGAGTGTAATAAATATTGGTTTAAAATATTTCATGTCATTTACCAAACATGTTTTGTCAAACAAAGGTTTAGGTTTAAGATGTTCCACTCATTTTTAGCAGGTTATTATTGTTGTTAAATTATCATTACATAACTATGACATTTATTTAATTTATTTAATTTTTATTGAGACTGGACTATAGAATCCTAATCCCACTTTAAGTGGTTTGATTATTGTTGAGCTGCTTCTGATCTTTAATTATCCCAGTAATGGAAGAAGTACTCAGATTACTGACTCAGGTCATACAGTCATGTCAAAATAATTCCTTGCATACAAATAAAAGCTCCAAATTATAAGTCCTACAGGTGTATTCCTATAAGTCCTAGGTGTATTAGCTAAGATTTTACACAGTGTGAGTCAAGTGAAAATGGGACAAAACATGGTGTGTCTCACCTATCCTACCTGGCTATGTGACAGTCTGCTGCCTACAGCTGTTCTCTTGTTATTCCATTGTCTCTACACTGTGTTGTCAGGTCTGTACTGCACTGGCCTCACACAACTTGCACATTTTAAAATTTTCTGTTTAACACTCTTGTTTTTTTCAGCCCCTAGGGTTTTGTAAAAAGATGAATGTATTTAGTCTTTTTTTAATTTCCAAGGATTGCATAAGCGTTGTTACTAAATAGCAACAGTTCACATAAATGAAAATGAGCCAGAGGACATTGCACTTCATAAGCACGTCTCATGTCTGCATTCTGAGTAGTTTTTCATGAACGACGCCACTTACACTCTTTGGCAGTGTAGTGCAGGCCTGCAATCAGCAACTGTTAAAATTACAAGTTAAATCAGAGGCAGAACAGCACTGTCTGCTCATGAGACAGATATGTAAAGGGGTGGGGGCCCAGTAAAGGACTTGACATCGGAAAGAAGATGATTAGAAGAGTCTTCCCTTACACAAAATGAGCAGCTAAAAAAAGATGTTCTTGTGAACGATGAGAAAATACAATATTTGAAACGAGTTTCCTAGATTTTGAACACAATATACACAGAAAGAAGAAACAAATTTAAGAATGAACTCACACAGCTGCTCTGAGAAAGAGAAATACACTGTAGCAAAATAAGATTACGAAGCATCAAAATATGAAAATACTTTTGCGAAAACAGAAAAATATCCTCTCATTTAGACAAACAGCACCTCGATTTCCCTGCATGTCTCTCTCCCTCTGCCCCCACTATACCATCACATTTTTGGAAGATGATATGGGGGGATCCAGTTGTTACATTTCATTGGCCAATGGTGAGCAGAGAGGGGCTGGGTTGGTGTGCCCCTTCTTTTAAAAACGCTCCTGAGCTCCTGTCTCCAACTCACCAAATCAACTCACATGAGACAGAGCAGCGTCTAGACTTTGATTAAACAGCAGCATCCCGCTCACCTGAGAGACTGAAGCAGTCACACTCAGCTGTATCTGAAAGCTGAGGAATTGTTTTTTCTCCAATGTTTGTATCACTGCTGTAGAACACCAGGGAAGAACAAGCATTATAAATCTCCATATAATAATAATAATAATAATAATTTTCTAAATGATAGAAAAACACATTCACAATAAATTGCTGTAAATTTAAAAGTTTCAAGCTAAATGATATCTGGAAAGGAACCATTATTTCAGTTTACTGTTTTTCCATTTTACTTCATTTTCTGTAATCACATACTGTAAGAACAGAGGGTCAGTGTATACTCACACATGTGCACTGCACTACAACTGACAAATAACTATTGTTTACAAAATTGGTGGCATTTTCCTGAGGATATCAGACACTAGAGTGCAATGTCTGGTGATGAACTCTTGTAATACTATAAGGGTTTGTAGACGACTGTGTGTGTGACCATGTTGATTCACCAGGTCGTTTCACCACCAGGCTAATCACCAACATGTGGTGATAGAAGTGAAGGTTAAGAGCAGGAGGTTAGATACATTTCATAAGTATAAGTGTGTTGTGCTCCCTGTGGGGTAATTTAATAAGAAAAAGCTCTGTTGATGACAGTGAAACTCCTGCTGATGACAAAAGGTTCTGGTGACACATTTTGTTACCATAATGACAAGCTGCAGTACAGAAGCTGCAAGTATTAGTAAATAATGTAGAAGGCCTATTTTTTTGGTCTCACAGCAACTACAGGGCTCTAGCAAAGACATCAGCTCAGCAACGACATAAGCCAGATGTACTCCCTCTTCCTGTTCTTTCACCAAAGTGACACTCATCATATTTTGAAAGATCACCACCCTTTATCTTCATAAATTATATCAATAAGGCAAGACAAGTTTATTTATATAGCACATTTTTGTACACAAAGGTGATTCAGTAAGCTGTCACTTCTGTCCACTTTTACAGCTGCTCGCCATTAACTTTTTTTTTTTTTTTTTTTTTTTAAGAAAAGGAGCGGGCAGTTCATAAAGGTAAATGAGTGTGAATGCACCATAATAGTCTCCATATCTTCTTGGACTGGAAGAGTCCAGTTTAGTGCATTAGGAAGGTAAAGATACATGGTGATTCAGACTGGCTTTTACTAAAGGAGAACATAGTGTTACAGCCACAGGTGAAGGCCAACCTCAAAATGGATTATAAAATTTTAGTCTCTGTGTCATAGTCCTTTAGCAGAAAATCCATATCTTGCAATAAGGTGGTGGTGTTTTGTCCTTATTTCATGATCAAAATGCAGTCCCAGCAGTCCCTAAAGCTATAAAAGCAGTCAGCTTGGAATCAAGAAGCAATGATCACAAAGTAAGTGACCTTTCCCACCTGCTGGGTGTGTGTTTGACTAAATGAGAAAAGGAACAAAAAAGGGATAAAGAGCATTTGCCATATTCTTTCCCCCTGTCAATCTGGCCCTCCCAGCTAACCTTACTGCCTTCTGTGAAAGTAATGACTGTATGTGTCCTGTCCAGTTGTTATGTGTTCAACTTTTGGTTCTAATGTTGAGTTCCCTCAGGCATTTCTTTACAAATACTTTCTCCATCTTGCTCCCTTCTGTTTCTCCCTCAGCCCATTAAACTACCTCCACCACCTAATTCTTTCTGATCTACTTCATCAAACATTCTCTACTCGCCTTGTTCTCTGTCATTTTCTCTATACAACTTGTTTTCCTGTTTGAAAGCAGCAGCTATTGCTGAATGCCCACTATAACGCAGAGGGGAACACTGGCACTTAGCATAAGTCCACTGTAACTTTCAGCTCCAAGGCTTATTTTTAACTTACTATACAACAGCCTATTTAACAGAAACGTCATATCTTCTCCTTTCTTCTTTGTTTCATGATTTTCAGGTAAAGCTGCTTCTGAGCAGTTGGAGGTCCTTTGTGAGTCAGACACAGGGGCTAGTTTTCCAGATGTTTGACCACTGTCTGCTCCAAACAGCCATCTGGCCAGCTGACATTGATGACTGAGACAGGGATTACAATGGATCAAAACAAAAGGCGCAAATTCCCACTAATAAGCTAGTTCACCTCATTTTCCTTCTCTTTGTGTATTTATGTGTACAGTACATGCATATGCAGATATGCCAAGATATTATTTATTGCAGGACTAATCACCTGCTTTCAATTGAACTATTTCCAGTTGCTGGATCGGTACCTATATGCACAGGTGTAACGGTTTAAAAAGGACTTTTAGAAACTTTAATGTGGTAATTCAATGCTACCTCAAAACACAAAGCCTTTTATACATCTGTAAACCTTTTAAATCATGCAGTTGATTTGCATCATTAGCTGATGTGAGGGACAAAATTGTTGATTTTAATGAGCTGCAGGTGTTTTCAAAATCTGACTTGGATTTTCTAAAATAAAGAATGTCTGGGTGAAGCGAGAGATGGGCACAAAAAAGAGCAGACTTTGCTGAAACCACATACAAGCCAAACACATAAACAGCTTCCATATGACATGGCAAACATATCATCACACAAATAGTTCCACACGCATTAAATTAATAAATCAAGTATCTTGGATTAAGCTGCATTTAAACAGGGCTAGTACAAAGTTCCTACACTGTCAAAAAATGTACAACCTTTGCCTATTAGGAAGCTTTGTCTTGGGGGTTACATACCATGTGGTGGGAGTTAATGTTTTTACATTGCTTTCTTGTAAGAATCTAGAATATTCTAAATGGGATCCAGACCTTCTGTCTTGTCTGCCTGCCAGTGTACATCTGGCACAACCATAACCTCTCTAATCTGACTGAAACCATTTTGGGCACAACTTCATCAAGTCCTGCATTTTCCTTCCTCCTCCCCTCTTCGGCAAGTGTTTCATTAGATTCTCAAAAAAGCATTAATTTCTCACTCAGAAAGTGAAAGAGAGAGAGAGCAAAGGCACTGGTGATTATTAATAGGTTTATTTTTGTGTAGTCTTGTAATACTGTAAGTACACCAGCTGGATTGTTAAAACTAAAGCTGAGTCTACTTAAGTATGACTTGCAACTGACACAACATATTCAGAAAGGGTAATGATGACAAATGCAGGGTGTAAAGTAAGTAGTAGCTAATATGTTTCAGGCATGTAACTGTCTGTCTAAAACAAAGTGGTAGACATCATTTATTTGTTCCTTCCAAAATTGTTGAACATTACTACTGAAAAATAGATTTATTTTACAATGTGACAAAGGTGTGGTAGAGGCTTGAGTAGGTTTAGGGACCACTGTCATGAATACATCAATGAAAATTTGGTTAATGTTAGGGGACGACTGTAGTCCTGCTTAAATAAAAACAACAATGTTGACTCATGGTTGGAAACGGGAAACAAACAACAACAATCCCTCTTTTTAAAGTTCAGTGTTTTGTTAACCCATCCATGCAGCCTGAACTCCTCCACACCTGAATTTTGCTACTCAGTGGGTACATCCCATGTCTTTTGGATGATCGTTCTTCACTATTCTATCCCTGCTTGAACCGGAAGTCAAGCGAGGATAGATAAATCCCAGTCCCCTTATTTTATCATTCCTCGATCCTCACTCAGCCTGGAAGTTGTTCCAGCCTGTCATGATGAAGGATGTCCCAAATCTCTTATTTCTGCCCTGAGGAGTTATAACTTATGCATCATAAGTGCATCCTTCATGGAAGTCTGTTACAAATTGACATGCACCATTATTTGAAATCAGTTTGTGATTAGATGCTTCATATGAAGGATTTGAGGAAAAGACATCTAAAGTCAACTAAAACAAGTTTTCACATTCCTCTCTCACTTCATTGTATACTTGCAGTTTACTTGAGTGGGTTTAAGAGGCAAAGAAGCGATGTAAGTGAGAGAACTATGGATGCAGTTAGTGGCATTGGGATTCACCTGTCATGGGACCATTTTTCACTGAAGTCTTTTACAGGTTGACTTGCCTCTTTATTAAAAATCAGTCCATGATTAGATGCTTTGGATGAAAAACTGAAGGAAAGGACATCTCATGAATGTGTTTCTTTGATTTTGCCAGTTTTTCATTCAGTTTGCATGGGTAAGACTAAGATGCAAGGAAAAAACGCAAGTGGGGGGACATGGAAGACCATAAAAGACTTGGAGTGTACCCATTTTATAACATCACCGACTTCCTCCTTTACTTGTCAAAATTCCTAAGGCCTCTAGAGGGCTTAGCAACTCAAATGTACAGTAACTGTAAACATATGTCATTTTGAAACAACTGATGATGTTGTTCCTGTTCTCCCCTGAACCAAATCATTTTTTTGAATGACTTAATTTGCCTTGTTGGTTGTACTGCATTAGCTGTAAAAACCCTAAATTGTACATAGTGTGTTAGCAAAGCACAAAATCAAACTCCCTAAGACCATATGAACAAGAAAAGCAAAATATATTGTAGCAGTAGGGCGCTTTATGGTGTTTTTTAGTTCTGAAAAGGAAATAATAAGCTTCAACCTTGCACCCTTTGTTACTTGCTTCTCGATGAGGTAAATTCACCCACATACCAGCCGCATGATGCAGTACTCCTATAAAGTCTCCCTGCTTTTAAAATTCATAAAGTATTAACATGTCACTCCAAAGCACAATAAGCTCTTAGAGTGAGCCATGTGAGCAAGGTCTGTTCACACCTACCATAGCTGAAGCAACTACCCCCAGGTTTGCCTTCTGCTGTAGCTAATCTGGGTTTCCTCTTTTTTTTTTTTTATTCTCTAAAATCATTAGTCACCTCAAATGGTTATTTTGTTCCCTTAATTTTGGTGTGAGTGAGTAAAATATGTTATGCAAACAAGAGCTGAAAAAGTTCTTTATGCTTTCTTAGAAATTAAATGTTTGCACTTCAGAGAAGAACATGTAAATAATATGCCACAGGTTTGGCACTCAGTGTCAAGTGAAACAAAAAACTTGTTTGGATCTCCTCACTGTATGCTTTCTCTAAGAGGTTGTTAGACGTTCTCATTGTGCCTTCAGTTTGTACAGATTGCTGTAGTGCAGCCACTAAATTAGTGTCATATGAACACAAACATTTATCCAGCAGGAGATAAAACTCTTGCTTTGAAAATGTAATCAGCACAAGAAGATAATTTGGGAGACAAAAGAAAAATTGTGGAAAAACTATTTGATTTGACTTAATAAATTAAACGTGCAAGCAGAGCCACATCTGCTCAGCAGATCATTGTGAAAGCATGTGCTTCTGTTTTTTCCAGTCATTCCAGTGTATCAGAAAGACAAAGCCGATATGGAAACCTATAAATTAGTTTTTAAAGCCAGGGACATAAAACAATGCAACCATGAACGTCAGCTGACTGTCTGCTTTACCCTTAAACGTACATAATACATTTTTTTTTACGTTAGATATTTGAACAACTATCCTTCTTTTTCAAAATCTATCAAATACATTAAGGGTTGTAAAAAAATGTACTGGCATGACAATAAAGCCTTGAAGTGAGTTGTAAAGCTGGTGGGCAGAGGGATTGATAAGCCTCTCTGCAGGGAGTCTGCTGGTAAACTCAGCAGTGTCTCTACGAAAGTGCAAAGTGTGTATAACACGCACACACATACTTAGACTGCACAAGCAATTTTTGTGTCTGTGACAAACCATGGCATTTTTCCCCTCACAATTCAAAATGAAATGTCAAATAAACAATTGGTATTTTTGAAATCATGAACAACAAGTACTATTTGAAAATGTATCATTGTACTTCAAAGCATAAGAAAAAACATGGGACAGGGCAGGTTTAATAAATCAATGAGTCAAATTTAGAATGAATGCCAGTATTTTTTTCTTTCTAATGAGGCACATGGATGAAAAATGTTGATTTAAAAGTGACTGTAGAATAGACATGCAGTGTTTGTGATGTATGCATATAGATTATAATCATGAAATCAGCAAAATATTGTTGTATAAAGGTGTCTGTGTGTGTGTGAGGTGATGGAACAAGCTTAAGTGATGTTTTCTGGGTCCACCACTGCTTAACATATGCATTTGCTGATTTGTCTCAGCTGCAGCATGATTAGCATCATCAACAGTGGTTGCCTTTTAATGGATAAAAAGAAGAAAAGACTAGGAGGACGTCAGGCAGAGGGGAGGACATTAAGCCAAAGGATGAAAAGACAGATGACAAAGAGTATGAGGGAAGTGATAGGTGGAGATGATGTTCTATGTAAAGTGGGTGCAGCAGGAGGAGTGGCAATTTAAAAAGTCCACAGAAAGAGACAGAAGAAGCAGCAAGAGGAGGAGGAGGACACAAAAGTAGAGGACTGAGAGTGATGAAAGCGTGCAAGAGGAGAAGGAGAAGACAAAAAACTAACAATTTTTCCTCTTTTCTCCACTCCTTTTTACTGAAACTTCAGAAGTCTAGTTAATGTTTCAGTACATAAAAACTACAAGCCTGTGACTTAAGTGAAGGAAGTGAAAAATAAGAAAATGAAAAGTAAAGGGCAAAGTTGAGGCATGTAATTAAAAGAGCTTTTTTGCCTTGAAGAAAATGCAAAATGTGTACTTTATTGTGTTTGTGCACGCATACAAAGACTGGTTTCATCAACTGTTCAAAGTGAGAACACACACTGTAAAATATAACCTTCAGTGCCACTAAATTGGATTAAATAAACTTGAACTTTATTTTGTTTTATCATATCACATGAATGTTTTTCTTCCTGTGTGCAGGATCTGTGAGAACCAGGAGTCAATCTAACAGGAGCAGTACCCTCAACTCATTCACTGACACACAAACAACAGGTACTCGATCTAACAATAATATCCAGACTGTGAGAGCTGAAGGGGAGGGCAGC